AACATCAAAATATTGCCACCTAACACTACTACAACCATTGGATCAAGGTATTATTTGTACCTTTAAAACATATTACATAAGAAGAGCATTGCAGTGGATTTTAGACATAACCGATTTAAAATCAATTAATGTAATGGAAGCTTGGAAGACATACAAGACAGCATTGTATCAACATCGTACCTTTGTCTCTGAAAGAACTGAAAGCATCAACACTAAGATATGGCCCTCTTCAGTTGAAATAGAAAACATGTTTGAATCGCCAGAAAAAAAAGTTGGTGGCTTATTAGAACTTGCTAAATCAATCGGAGGCGAAGGTTTCGTCGAACGGCTATTGAGGACATTCAATATTTATTAGCGGAAGAAGAAATTGACGAAGCAGATTTGATGGAAATGGCATCCGAAGCCATAAACCAAATCGATTCTAAGGACACTAGCACTGATGAAGATTGTGCAGCTAATAATTTAACATTAAAAAAAAATTAAAATAAGGCCTAAGCTTAGTTGAAAATATCGAATCATTTTTCTTGACTGCTGACCCTACTGCTGAAATAAGCTGAAAATTCAAAAGGGAGGTGCAAAACTGTCTAGCTCCATATCAAGAAATTTACATTGACCTGGTAAGAGGTAGTAAGCAAAGTAAAATTACAGATTTTTTTAAAGAAGGAAGGAAATGCCAGAACTTTAAATGAAGAAAGAAATTCTGAAAGTGATCTCATTCCACACACACACAGACCCAAAAAAAAAAAAAAAAAAAAAAAAAAAAAAAAAACCACCCGTTCTCGGTTGATTATACTGAACTGTGACAGCAAAGAAATTTATTAAACTAAAGTTGTGTTAAATTAAAATGTGTAATATATTTGTTTTGTGTTGCGCATACATATATATGTTTTTGTTTATGTAGAATTAAAAAAATATGTTTTTAATAAGTTTTCTGAACATAACTCCCCCTTTTTATACTGGCTCTGGGTCTCATACAGCATGGCATTTTCTAGGAACCTATCTACTGTGTTACACGGTTACCTATACATCAGTTTCAGCATGTCACATCAAGTAGTCCTTCAGATTGTAGCATCACCATTAAAAATATGAATGCTTTATGAAAGAAATGTGAATCTTTAATTTATGCTTCTAATGGCAAAAGAATGTACAAGAATGTTTTTCTGCTATCCAGAAAAACAGCATTTTTAAAACATGCTATAATTCTCTGATCATTATTTGGTAATTGACTTCACTTTCTTCACATTAGCCTATTTAATAGTGTCTTTGGTTTCCATAATTCTAGACACCATCATACTCGGCATATGGTAAGCAGTAGATAAGAAAAAGTTTAAATAGGAAAGTTTTTATAGAAATGCATAACATCTGCATACTTTTCAAGAACCTGTTTTTTCATCTAGATGGTGATGCTAACGATTTTCTTTTTTGCTTGATTTTTCTCATTAACTTTCCTAGAACTCAATATTAACGAATTTACAAAAAAAATTATGAAGAAAAACATAAAATCACTTGAAAATTCATTCATATAGCATAGGTTGCTTACTGAATAGTAGCCACAAGAACAATGATGCTCACAGCCAGTTATAGCATTGTGCTCTTGGTAAAAGAATGCAATGCACACAATCATAATTCATCAGACTTGCATATCATTTTCTAAACAAATATGATATACCCAAAAAAAGTTTCACATCGAAATAGGATGCATACCAATATAAAATACATATTTAATACATACTTAAAAATGGACGTATATGGAGGTAACATTGAATAAGAAAGATATGTGATGAAAAACATAAATATTCATCTCAGGTTCATGACTGAAAATCCTGTACTTTATCTAATAATTTGAGTTATAATGAGATGCTAAGATTTGACTATGGAAATATTAAACATTAGATTAACAACATATTAACCAAGCACAAAACTACTACCTTTTTTAATATTTATGATCAAGGAAAAATAGATCTCCTTACAATCATTTCACTAAAACTAAGGATCTGTGATATTTATAGTCATGTAAAAACAGATCTCTTTTCATACTGACCAATTACACAGCTACAGTAAAGTCTTTAATTCGGACTCATCAGGACTTCGGCGATTCCGGATTAGGGTTTTTCCTGGATTATAGATCATCAATTTAAATCTGGTAAGATGGCATGTAAAAATTATCAAATTAAAAATATGAAACCATAATTTATGAAATAAAGAGCTATTATGATCTAAAGGGTATAAAAATTTACAAAAAAAAAAGCTTAATATATATTTGTTTACTTTATTAAACATTTTTTTCGGAGTAAGTTGTTTAAGTTGCTTCATTTTTTGTGCTAATACTTTCTCTTTAATTCTATAAACAGACATAATTTCTTGTTCAGTTCCACTGTTCAAGTCATGCAATTGCTGTGTCTAGAATACCGACTAATTTGTCAATCAAAATTTTTTCGTTTTCAATAACGTCTCTGACACTTTCTTCAAATCAGAAGTATTGGGAGTTTCGATGTATCAGAAGCGGTACATCAAAACATGCTTTTGCTTTGTAGATGCTTTGGCAGCTCCAGAATCGGAAACTCTTTTTGACATAATCGAAAGTTCAAGCTGACTTTTTATAAAATTGCTCTAACAGTCTGCAAAAAATAATGAGTCAGATCCTATTAGAAGATTAAGGAACAACGCAATCTGCAACATTAACTGAAATAGATAATTAGATAATTTTGGCCTAGCTTATACCATCCGTTATACATTAAACGCGCATGCGTAAACGTATTGTGCACATGCGTAAATGCATATGCGCATGTATAAAGGTATTATGCGCATCCGCGGAAAGTTTGTAGCTTTGAGGTCTGGATTAAAGACTTTGTACTGTACTATCTTTTTAAATATATATGAACATGAAAAAAATGGATCTCCTTGGAATCATTTCATTAAAGCGAAAAGTCTGTATTTTATATTTAATAATCAAGCAAAAATAGAGCTGTCAGTTCATACTTTTTATTACTCTTGTTTTCATAGTTTTCCTTTATGTACTTTTCATTAATTTCATACTTCATTTCCTTCATTCACTTTTTGTTCACTGAAAGTAACAAAAAGTGAATGAAGAGAAAAAATAAAACTTAATAAATATGGTAACATGCAGATTCATTTTCTGAAATACAATGCAATAGCACATGTAAATATTTAAATAAATTTGTTTTTGTGATCTATTCCCCCCTCAACAATGCCTATTATTCCATAAAGTTATACACATTGTTCAGAATTATTAAGAGGGAAGTTATGGCAGAATATCATACATATCATAATGAAATTTTACTTAATATTTTACACATTATAAAAACTATTATTATAATGTGACGTTATTCCCTTTTCACCTTTTGTCCAAAAAGAGATCAGTTCACTTTTCATATAGGTTCATAAAATTTATCTTGACAATGATTATTAACTTTTGCTACTTTACATTTCTTTTAAATGTTTACTTGTAAAACAGAAGACAGAGAAATGTCAGAAATTTCCATAATATATTAGCAATTTACAATAAAAATGCAAGCTAAAATGTTTTATAAAATGTATGTAAATATATCAAAATACTGATAGAAGTGATTGGTAGAATACAAAAGTAAATTAGTGTAGAACAGTGGTGCCCAACCTTTGGCCTATCGCAAGCACATTTCCAAAACATCAACATTTTTGTTAAACATATTTCCAATTTTATGTGATACATCTGAAATATTAATTTCAGAAAATGGGTTTGAGATGAATAATAATTTTGATTGAACTTTATGGAAATCAGAGAAGCAGAGTTTAAAATTATTTTTCAGTCCATTTAGGTTTTCTTATTTTTCAGTTCATTTAGGTTTTCTGAGTATTTAAAATTATTTTTTCAGTCCATTTGGGTTTTCTGAGTATTTCTCTGTTTCAATTGCCTTGTGGTTATTAATATGGCTTGATAAATTCTGAAAATGGTTTTTCTTTCATCTGATTTATCCACAAATTTTATCTGAAAAGCAGTTATAGTCCCAGCCAATGGGAAAAGGTTTTTTTTTTTTCTTTTCCCTGGAGATCTTCAATCAGTTTAGCTTAGCTATTATATCCGTGAGAAAATACAGATCGGATAACTAGTTATTATTGTCCAATTCTTTATATTAATAAATCAATTATTTTATACTGTCTTGCAATATATCTCTTATGACTATAAATGCTTACCATATTTTAACAATTAAGAAATATAAATGAATGGTTATTTTTAAAATACTTTTTATTCATAGTACCTAATCGGGCTAGCGAGCACATACAAAACAATCGGCCAGCACAACAATCGGCAAGCAGAATTCGAAGCAAAGCACCCACAACTGATCAATCATTAAGATGTTTTCCATCATGACAATGCTCACTCCCACACTTTAACGGATGTCAGAAAAAGACATTGTCTTTATGCAAATGGTTCCATACACAACAGCATTTTAAAATGATTGTTAAATCATTAATAATTTTGAAACTCAAATGTTTGAAAATATTAAAGCTGAAAATTTTGTATATTTTCATTTATAAAAAACCATTCTAAAATTTTGATCAAACTGAAAGAAAAACATGCTAACATAAAATTTAAAACTAGGCAAAAAAGCAGCCTTGATTTAATTGTAGATTTTAAATAAAATTCTATTAATTTTGAGAGGAATTAAAAAAAGATTTTCTTTAGCTAATAAATTTAATTCCAATGCAGTCATTCCTAGTGCGTTTAAAATTCTATTAACTTAATTTGTTAATTTTTATTACTATATCTGCTGATAGATGGTGCTACCCTTTCATCCACTTTACTCCTTTAGCTATAAATACAATTCTGGCTTTCTCTTCATTGCAGATTTATTTACTCCTAATGAAGAGGTGTACCTGTTTGTCCTTGAGTCTTGACTAAAATTCACACCAAACATAAGGTTGTTGCTTTGCGTAATTTTATATTTTACTTTGACATGTTTCTCTTCTGTCTTGACTTTATGAATATCTCAGATACATACCTATAATATGTTCCAAAAAAATTTAAAGGTATATACAGTTGTAATATGTATGTACTAAAGAGAACCCAGTCTCCTGCTGTTAGCTTTCCTTCAACAACATAATGAGCACACAACATGGCACCACAGAGAACACTACTTGTAATCACAATATTCTGAACCGTATTCAAGAGATTCAGAGATGCAGTACTAGCCCATTCAGCTACCTAAAAAAATTGGAAAGAACAAACAATTACATTTTTAAAGAATACAATTTAACATAAGATTTTTAAAATCAAATTAAATTTAACAAACACAGTAAAACCTCCATGAACAAACATGCAACTTGATTAGACATTCCCCATTTAAAAGGACAATTCTTAAATACCAGGTTCTTGATCAGAGCACTCTGATCTAATTGATCGCTAAATAGAATTTAGCTTGCACTTTTTGATAATGGATCAACCTTATTCACGGGACAAGGCTGATCCCATGAATGTGTGCTAAGAAAACATTCAACTGTAGACTTAGTTAAAGAATTTTCTAAAGCTTAAGTCATCCAGAAAATTCTGCATTTTTTAAAACTAAAGCACATTTTCTTATCCTTTTGTTACTGCAGATAAGATGTGAAATCGACTGAAGCAGATTTACAAATATATTCTTTCCTGCTCACACTGCATAATTTTAGCATGTGTTATGGTGTAATTTTTGTTTCAGTGCAGTGCTAAGAATCGTGAAACCAAAAATTCATTTTTGTCTTACAAAGAACTTTTATTTTAAAAGATGAGAAAAATGATAGATAGATAGATTACTCTTAAAAATTGTGTTGCATATGGATAAAGTGCTGTTTCTGATGACACAGTTTGAAGACTGTCTGAGAAATTTAAGCACAGATGTTTCAGCCTCGACGATGATGCCCACTTGGAATATCATCATCTGTAGACAAGAACCTATTTTAAAAAACTCTGAAAATCCAAATTATTCAGGTAAAAAACCTACCAAACAAACTTTGAAATGGCTCAATGGAAAGAGAGAAGCAGATGCTATACAATACTGTTACAAGAAAAACAAGATGGGATAATCCAAATGAACTTTCTTTAGTAACATGGAGAGGAGAGATGCACTACAAAAAAGTAATGTTTTGCATATGGTGGCACTGCAAAAGAATTGTACATTAAGAATTGTTGTCACCAAATCAGACCAATTTATAAAAATACTGTTATCAAATAAATGGCAGTTTTAAAAGCAGAATTTGAAGCAAAGCACCCACAACTGATCAGTCATTAAGATGTTTTCCATCATGACAATGCTCACTCCCACATTTTGACGGATGTCAGAGAAAGACTGAGTATGCCTGGGGTGTTTTATTCTTCCCTCGCCATACTTAGCAGACCTTGCTCCTTCAGATTTTCTTCTTTTTTTCAGGTCACTTCAAAGCTCTCCAAATGGCCTCTGAGTTCATTTCTTTGGAGACTGTCAAACAGAATGTTGATAGCTTCTTTATTAATAAACTTAACAAGTTTAAAAAAAAAAGGAATTTTCCAGAGATGGTAAAAAGTCATAGAACATAATGGTACTTTGAATTTCATTGAATTGCATAAGACTGGTCACATTGGTCTTATAATTTTATATGGTTTTGTTTGCATTTTATCATCACAAAATGCAGAAATGTCCAGATGATCCAATGTTTTATATGAAAAATCAAAGGTTATTTGCAATACTGATGCACACAAAAATGTTGTGAAAAATTAACTCGAACAATATTAAATATTTAAAATACAAATTAATAGTCAGTATTAGGTTATGGAACCGTCATATGAGTGGCTCTGATCTTGCACTTTTGGAAGTATGTTTCAAAGAAACAAGAGTTTGCAAAAAGAACAGGCCCATATACTCAAGATAGATGTATCGAACATGTCCTTGTCGTCTAAGTGTCCTTGTCGGCTTAAATGTCCATGTCAGCTAAGTGTACTTGTCGGCTAAATGTTCTGTCAGCTAAGTGTCTGTGTTGACTAAGTGTCAGTGTCGGCTAAATGTTTGTTGGCTAACTGGTGTCGGTTAAGTGGTTTTCGGCTAAGTGTCACGGACCCGTCACTCACTTGTTTAATATTTCAGAGGAAAGAAAGTTTTTTAAAATTCTAAAATATACCAGTTAGTTGAATGCTATATAATATGCCAGTTAGTTGAATATAAGTAACTGCACAGCACATTTCAAGGAAATAGCAAGCACATGCCTTAAAAGCACAGCTTTTGGGGGAAAATCTAGATAACATCTCATATAAACATTTATTTTCAAGAACATAATTCTGTTTAAAACATCATGCCAAATCCAAAGATAGTATTCATTATTCTGAAGACAATTCTTTATGGAAGTAAAAAACTTAAGATCACACAAATCTACTGCATTAAATTAATATTTCACCTGGTAATTGTCAATAGCATTTTTATAGTTTTCCAATTCATATTTCTCTGCATTATAGTATTTCACCTAAAATTTAAAAAGAAATTATATTAGAGAAATCAATACACAAATTTTTATATAAAAACTATAATCATGGAAAACATGCTATGAAATATAATGCAAATAATTTTTTCTTTGTTACTATAAGAATTTTAATCCTTAATCAAATATTTTTATATTCAGTCAATTTTTCCCTACGTAATTTAAGATATTTTACATTAACTCTTACTGTTTCGAAATTAAGGAGAGAATCAACACATTTGGCCTCTACTTCATTATCTAAGCGATTCACATTTCTCCGGAATTTAGTTCGCCATTCCGTAAGGTATATAGTTAAACCTAAAACAAATTAAAAAATTTAAACAAAAATAAGACGCAAGAAATACTTATCTGTACTACTGATAATTAGTAAGTATTGATAATTCAAAATAATGTTTAATTTTTAGATTATTATCAGTTAGCAGTTGTACTCAAGAAATCCATTGTGAAAGATTTCAAGATTTACAAGAAAATTAAGTTATAATTTTTGAGAAATTTTCCTGTTCTTTATATTTTGGAATCCATTATTTTCAAGGGTATGTCTTAGAAAATTTATGAATAATTTTTGTAAGCATTATTTTATCTTATCAAATAAATTATTAAATGACCTAAATCTATATATTCTGTAACCAATAGAAGAAGAAATTAATGCTGTTAACATACTGAAAGTTTTTAAAAGCAATAAAAGCATCATAGATAAAAAGCTCAGCAACTGTTTGTAGACAAAATGTTAAACGCCTCAATCGAGAAATATGCACCAAAAACACTTCATATACCAGCAATAATCTACATAATTAAGTATTACATCTAGTCCTGGAGCTTGAATGGCCGCCAGGTACATCGGCAGGTGTTAGATAGCTGGAAGTCCTGTATTTTATTACACAAAAGCTTCAAATAATAAATAAGAAGCCGTGAACTCCCTCCTGTAACCCTGATGTTATGCGACTTGTGTCTAGGATACTGGTTATAGTGTCTTAACAGAGCTTCTAGCATGCCTGGCAGCTTCTACAGTATTTTCCTTACCCAGCAACAGGCAATACTGTGGGGACCTTTTTTATCCTGTACTTTCTTTTTTAGTTCATATATGGCTGAAAGTCACAATATAACTAGAAATTCTGCTTTTGCAGGCAAAATCTCTGAGGCAGATCTTTTTTCTCAGCCTCCCCCCAAAAAAATATTAAAGTCAATCGAAGGAGCAGAAGTGAATCCTTCATTGAGTGGGGTAGAAATGACATCTACTCAAGTTACTCAAACAACATCTGGAGAAGGACAAGAAGCTATTAAAAGCATGACTGCCCCTCTACATAAAATCAAAATCAAAAAGAGAATGTCCGGAGGGTCTAATGGTGGCCAAGATGGCTGTACTGATTGAAGGACATCCTGAAAAATGTTTATCGGAGAAACAGGTTACTGAACTTGAACATCTGATAGCGTTGACTACATTAGGTGTTCTTAATATTTAAAAGTTACACCTGAGCTCCATTACAGGGCTGTTAGACTTTGTAAACAAAGTGGGTAACTCAAACAAATATAGCTAGGAAGCATTGGGTTTGGTGCATTTGGCACAAAATGCTATTTAGCAGAGATTTCTGATACCTGACAAACTCAAACTGAAGAAGAAGAGATTACACATAGAAAAAAGTCAAGATGCTTCACTTATCTAACAATAAAAATTCCTTTTAAAAAAAGTCAAATTTAAAATGCTCCTCTCTCTCTCTCAAAAAAAAAAAAAAAAAAAAAAAAAAAAAAGAGAGAGAGAGAGAGAGAGAAAAGGGGAGAAGAAAAAAAAAGAAAAAGGTTAAAATTAGATTTAATTAAAAGAAAATATGCACATTTTCAAATAAAAGTTCTATATTTAAACAACATAATTAGAAAATTACAATATAAAAAAATTAATATAAATAGAAGCCACATACCTAAGTAGAGAAGCATAGTTACAAGGACAATTACACCAAACCAAATGTTGAATGCAAGAGCAAAGTATATGACAGCTATAAATATATCAGCAAATGTGGGTATAATATTAAAGACGATGTAACTGAAAAGGGGAAAAAGTAATTAAATACATGTAATTATTAACAGCTCCATTTTCATTTATTACTAAACAATAGAATTATGTTTTAAAACAAGAAATATAGAAACCGTACAGAAATAATGCTACTGCAATGAACATATAAAAAGTAAGACAGCAAAGAACAAAAGATGCCTTCACAAAGGAATTTTCAAGGGAACCTGGCCCATAAGCGTGAGTACACAGGAAAAATTAAAAAAAAAAAAATACTAAGCAGACAGCCTATTAACTTGAATCTGAGCCTGGTCAACTTAGCAATATAACAGCAACATAATAATTAGCTTGACCCATAATCATGCCTACACAGGAGAGGGGGAATACTATGCAGCCAGCCTATTTACTGGAATCTGAACCAGGTCAACTCAGCAATATAACAGCAACACAATAATTAGCTTGGCTGCAGATAAGAGGCTCATATCATTAGGTTTCTCTTTCATTTTTGATGCATGCTAATGCTAGTCAGAAACTTAATTCATGCTATAAATTTGTAACCTTCTGTGTGTAAAACCCATACGGGTTTGATTATAAAAATTATACTAATTACAGAAAAACTGCAAAAGATATCACAGCAACATAAAATAATAAATGTATACATAAATATCATAAAATTATAATTTTTAGCTGTTTATATTGTAGGATTCCACCTTTTTAACCATTAATTAAGTGTTGAGGAACCTAGTGAACTACTAAGCGAATAATCACTTAAGTCTGAAAATAGAAACATAAACTCAAGAATGGTTAATTATACTTTATTGCTCAAAATAAAGATTAACAGATGGCTCCTTTCTCAAAACATACAACAAAGCCCCCACTTGGACGTAAACTAAAAAATGTATGAAATCAGAACTTAACTAATGACTAACTAAAGAGATTTATCTGAAGCTAACACAAATTAAGCAAATTGGCCTATAATATTAAATTAGCTAGCTAAGCTATCTAAAGGCATGTAATACGGTCAACCATAGTTAAAGTTAGAGAGACATAGCCAAAAGGCAAACACACGCTATTCAGGAAATTTAATTCTCTCTCTTGAAGTCAGTGAAACTTCGACTTAAATACTACTCTTTTTCATTTGCATTTAACGCGATTTTAAAAACTCATTCTGGTAAGGAATTGCAAGCTGAAACTAGAAGAAACAAGAAAGTCATATACACTTAAAAATAATTGTTATAAAATTAGGATATACCTTACAATATTATCAGATAAGCAGCTAAAAATGATATTAAACACAATGAGTTATGTTGTTTATTGATTGAATGAATTGATACTTTTTGATTACTTGCCCACCTCTCATTAAAAGTCAACAATTGTTGACAACTAATTTTTCAACAACCTAAGATGAAAAAAACAACAGCCATTTATTCGGAGATTGAATTAATCCTTGCTGTTGATGCACAGATGGCAGTACCTGTACTAGTGCAGCATAGCAGATAATAACACAAGATGTATTTAGGAGTAAAAACATTAGGCTGTGTGCGACATCTGTGTGCAATTTTTGAGTGGAGTGGAAAGAATGTACTTATTTGGTGCCTTGCACATGTTGGTTTGTACCTACAAAACAGCATTTGCAGGAAGTGCTACTTTTCTGCTTTCATATAAAAAAATCTGCAGCAGAAAAGCATTGTTTGCTAGTAGAAGTGTATAGAGAGCGTGCTTTGTCGGAAAAAAAAAAAAAAAAAAAAAAAAAAAAAAAAAAAAAAAAAAAACGTGCAAAGATTGGTTTTGATGATTCAAAGATAATGATTTTGAGGTAAGTAACAAGTCGAAAAATTTTGCAGATGAATAGTTAGAAGCATTCCTAGCACGGATTCATCTCAGACGCTTATACCGTTATCTGAAACACTAAATGTGGATGCATCAACTATTAGTAAACCTTGAAAAGCAATGTGAATGGTTCAGAAATTGGGAAACTGGTATTACATGAACTGATAGAAAAAGTCACTGCAAAATGCTTAACCATTAATGAAGTGTTGCTTCAAAGACAAAAGCAGAAGTCATTTTTACGGCAATCAGAAGTGCAAGAAATCATGGCCGTGGCGAACCATTAATATCAAAGCAAAATATTCCTGGCAAGCAGAATATGCTGTACATTTGGTGGGATCAGGCCAGTGTGATGTACTATGAGCTGCTGCAACCGGGTCAAATGATGAATACTGAATGTTACAAAGCACAATTACTGAATCTGAATCTCACACTTACAAACAAATAGACAAATACCTGCAATATTCTCAGAGACATAACAAAGTAACTCTGCTTCATGACAATGCCAAACCATGTGTTGCAAACCGAATGAAGGACATTTTGAAAGGACTTCAAATCGTATGTCTCCCCCCATATACTGCATCTTCTGATTACTGTTTGTTTTGGTCCATGCAGCAATGGCTTCCTGAGCAACACTTGATCTCAAGAACCAGCTCCATATTAACTCAAAAGGACCTGAATTTTTTTATCACAAAATCCATTTGTTACCCGAAAAGTGGGAAAAAGTTGTAGTTGCCGAAAGATACTACTTTCAGTAAATTATCTTATATATGATTCTATTAAAATAAACATGTGTTTTCTGTTCTACAAACAGCAAGAATTAATTCAAGCATCCAATAAAAATGGTGACACATAAACTGGCACTGAAACGAACTCTCAGATATCGCGGCAAAATCTGCTGTTGAACTGTCCAGTTGCCTTATCCCTTTTACAGACACCTGCTGTGTCATCAAGGGGAAGATCTGGAAAAAATGGCAGAAAATTTGGGATGTTCAGCATCACAAGTTGAGAAATATCAAACCTAGAATTGAGCGCATTGGGATTTTGCTGGAAATCGTTAAGGAAGAACGTTCTTTTGACTCGCCTCAGAATTGGTCACACTAGAGTCACACATAACTATCTTTAAAGCTGAAAATGAGCCTGTTTGTTTTAATTGTAATGTTTGTTTATCTGTTCGTCATATTTTAATTGAGTGTCCATGTTTTAATAGTCTTCGCCAGAAATATTTTAATAGCTGTGACTTACCTCTCGACCGTTTAATCGGAAGAGAGGTCAATTGTAATTTATTTTATTATTTAAAAGAGATTGGCTTTTATTACCAAATGTAATTTGTTTTGAAGACTGTGTCTTGAATTTTAATATGTGCTTTTAACTTGTTTTTATATGACTTCATCCTCTGGATTTGGTACATTTATCTACTTGTTTTTATTTATTGTATTTTAATTTCATCAATTGTAATCATCTCATCCTGTGTTTGGCGCGTTTTAATCATCTTTGGTTTTGCGCCAATAACCTCTCACTCACTCACTCCTCACAATCTCATTACAATTCTTTACAAGGTAGGAAAAAGGAAAAGAAGACAATGCACTCAATGCCACATAAATAAACACTAACGCCCATTGCTTGTCATATTTAATTGTTACAAAAAACATTCTGGCAATGTCATGGGCTAGCTTGGCAACATAGCACGTCACCTTTTGAATTCTTTTCAGGGTTGAATGAACCTTTTTTTTTTTTTTTTTTTTTTTTGTTAACAAGACTATATGTTTTTTTAAACTGATACATTACAATTGATAATAAAATATAAGCTGAATAATTACAACTTTAATATAATACCATTTTTTGCAATAAATTTTATATTCAAATAATAATAACAACAAGCATAAAATAGCACTGAAACTAATTTCAGATTAAAGATTAAATCTCAAATACATGCAGATAATTAAAAAAAGCATTATCACAATGAAAGAGTGTGCAATTTATATCATATAATAAATTACACGCTCACAAATAGTTCCAAATAAACAAATAACCTTTTAGATTGATTAGTTTACAACTTATGACACATAATATAAACTTTCATCAAAATAAAATCACTAAACTACCAAAAATTACCTTAAAAGATTACTAATACTACTAGTTCCGCGATCCATGACACGTAGAACTTCACCTATTTTCCTACTCAGATGCCAACTCAATGACAAACTGCAATATAAAATAATAATATATTTATAAAAAAAATACAAACTGCACTTTCATTTCTACAAAATACACAATAAACTTCTATAAATACTACACATAAATATATAATAAGGTATATATAACAGTTATTTAGCTCACCAGTGAAAAAGAAAACAAAATGAAAAATTAATTTAAATTCATGCATTAAATTTCTGGCTTTTTAACTTCATTTTTATATAAGTTTATGCTATTCTTTAATTCTAACAGTGTATTAATGCATTTAGTACCATAATTTTAAGTACCAAATAATTTCAATGATACCCAAGAGATATGATTACCAAGAGATATGATATTTTCTAAAAGAGAAAAAAAAAGTACATTAGTCACTGTTTCCAAGATTTTGTATTAAAAAAATTCCTAAAACATGGAGACTGTCTTACAAAAAATGCTCAGTATAAAGTTTATTTAAACCTGATGATTAGAAGATTCTGAGAAACAGTTAGAAAAACTTTAACATTTTAAATTGACTAAAAATGATTGCTCAGCAAGATAATAGTTGACCAATCAGTTAAATCAGTTAGTTATCAGAGAGAAAGAGTTAAAATATACAGGAAATTATTCAGTACTTTATGAATTATATTGATATGCACCAAGCATGACACACACAAGTTACCTCAGGTTACTTTTCCTGAAATACTGCACAACTTTAATTATCTGAAGTAAGTGGACAATTGAAAGTTCTGTTAATAGAGGCTAAATCGGAAATCTTATCAATTTTCCCTTTTACAAAGTTTTCTGTAATTGTTTATTTGAAGTTCGGAAAATTAGTGCACAAATACTACAATTAACTTTTTTTAATAAACTCTATAGATAAAACTTGTTTTCTTTAATTAAATGAAAAATCTATATATGATTTAATTCTATGATAAAAATATTTATGGAAAAAAAAAACTAGAATAAACAAACTGTATTAAAATTTACACAAATCATAAAATTTTGTCAAATTTCTCGCATGCACTTATACAAAATATTATTATTTTTTTTTAAAGTTTAATATTCCTTTTTTTTTTTTTTTTTTTTTTTTTTTGTGATATTCCTATAATTCTACTATCCACCTCAAGATCGCAATACATTTGTCAGTGCACTGGCAGCAAACTAACAGTGATATTTTGGCAAACCACGGGCTTAATAGATTTCTCAACTAAAGCAATCATAATTTATCACTACCATATTATAAAACAACAGCGAGACTTAACTGCCACCAATTATTTCAGCTTACCATGCATAATTGAGTACTGGTTCATGAATTTCTTCTATTTTATTTATTACATGCTTACAGGTTCATAAGAGATTGAATGCACACAGAACTGATGCTTGATAAAATTTATTTTCTCAAAAGAAACACTTTACAACTCTAGAACTTTTCATAAAAGTACTCCTGCAGCTCTTCCAGTATAACAGAGCACAATCAGTAGTTACTTCTTCAAACTACTAATAGAGTTAAGCACAAGGCCATACAAAGCGAATCTAAAGAGTGAAGCTTAAAGAGAGATCTCTTGATACTCCAAAGTAAAAACTGATAACCGATGCTCTCTCTGATCTTATACAGGGTGATTCTTAATTGCTTTTACAAATTAAGAGGGGTGATAGTACTCATCCAGATGAGCAATAATTACCACAGAACATAAGGTTGCATTCCACTCTGAGAGGCAGAAAAGAGGAATATTAGAATTCCAACCTGAACTGTTGGGAGAGCGAATGAATGAGACTAAAAGTTGCGCATTCAGTTTAGTGAAAAACTCACAGAGAATGCACAAAATAGATAAAACCGAAAACTTGACATTTGAGTGTTAATTTGAGCCCAGACTTTGATGGCAAGCACTCAAATGCATATCTTTGGTTCGCAAGGTCTCAACTTCGCAAATGATTGCAACAAGTTTATTATCTAATCAAAGGCTGAATATTATCAACTAACTCCAACTTCTTCTGTATGCTGAGATTAGAATGAAAAGTTCATGCTGTGTTCCGGCTGTCAGAACTTTGCGTCCGATAGAAGGCGCTTCGAGAAGGATGAATGCAGCACAGTAAATCCAGGAGAACAGAATAGAAGATGGCGAAGGGGGGAGACTGCTACCTCGACAGTATCATACCTACACTGAGTTAGAGTTAGTTAATAATATTCAGTTCTTGATTACATAATTAACTTGTTGCAATCGGTTGCGAGGTTGAGACCTTGTGAACCAAAAATGTGCATTTGAGTGTTTGCTTTCAAAGTTTGGGCTCGAATAAACACTCGCATGACAAGTTTTCGGTTTTATCCGTTTTGTGCACTCTGAGAGTTTTTCACTAAACTGATTGCAAAACTTTTGGTCTCATTCATTCGCTCTCCCAACACTGTTGCAAGCTCAGATTGAAATTATATTATTCTTCTTTCTGCAGTGGAATGTGTCCCTATGTTCTATGGTAATTACTGCTCATTTGGATGAGTTCTAACACCTTTCTTAATTCGCAAAAGCAATTTAGAATCACCCTGTATAGTTATCCCTTATGTACCGAGGAATTTCCAGTAACTTCGATTTCTCAAAATTGCTTGAAAGCATAAACAATTACAGTTACATATAGGAATCAGACATCAGAAATGTTATACAGGGATGATACCAAAAATGTCGACAAATGGTTGCCAAGTTTGGCGACTTTTGGCGATTTCTTGCCAAATTTGACAACAAAAATAAGTCATCAAAACCATCACCAGCTTGGCGATAGCCATTTACCTAATGTTAAATGAACTTGCCTCTGTAGCCTTATTTTTCTGATAGAACTTCAAACTCTTTAAGCCTTTCGTGTTACATTGTACAAGAGATGCTATGATTTTACATATAAGATTACTAACAGTATTAACATATGTACAAAATTCATAACAAAATTGATATGTATGTATATATATATTAATTCTAAATTTCTTAATTTATGTTTTTAATGATAATTTTTCTGAAGCTTAATGCGCAAAAATACTAGGCATGTTTAAATTTTGTTTTCAAAAGAATTGTTTTGTAATTATATATACTCATATATATATATTCAGTTCAGATCTATATTGATAAAAATATATGTATACACGAAATTTTAATAAAAATATTAAAACAGAGACATAAAAAGCTTTCTTCTAACCTATGCAAATGCTCATACATCTCCAGTTCAACTTCTTTTACAGTATATTGCTGAACTCGAATCCACAGAAATGACCGGATATTACTTAAAAAGCTGTTGTTTCCTGAAGAAGAAATGGAAAATGGAAAAATTTAATAATTATCAATGGTTGCTGTAGAAAGACCCATTTTTATAAGAAACATAACCTCTTACACTGCAATAGCATTTCATTTAGATTGTTTTACATTTCAAGATGACTTCATACGTTATTTCCAGGACACTTTTCTGTAAGACATATACATGCATTACCTTAGAAAAAAATGATGTACAAACAAAATGATTAAGTGTAAATTTACAAACACTGTGTCCATAGAAGCCATTCTGTGGCCTTTCTTTTCACATCTATTGGTCACAGACATATACTTCTAATTATAAAAATGTTTTATATGATGCAGATATTCATAGTTTAGAATTTTTAATTAAAAAAATGACAAAATTTAACTTCTCACATGGTTCCTCAATTCCTATAGCTATATTTAATAAATAGTCACTTCTTCTTCTTTTTTTTTTTTTTTAACTGAGACTTTTTGGTCATGCTTTCTCAAACTTTAGGAGTCATACACACATCAAAGAACAATATATAAATTTGCATGTAATTAAAAATTAAAACATTAATTTAAGAAGTTTCTGATCTTAACATATTGAGTGACAAGCATGGATATACAGACTGTCATGAAAAGATTTGTTCAATACAAATACTTTCAAAAAAGAACTCATTCACCTACTTATGGAATTTATGCTCTAGAACAAATATCTCAAACTGGTGGCTGCGGACCGCACATGGCTCCCAAAGCAATTTTGTGCAGCTGCAAATACACATCAAGTATGCATTTGCAACAAATATGGTGTTGCAAAGATTTCAAGATTTTAGTTATTTCAAGTACGAGTTTATAGTACCTTTACTAACATTACAAACAAATGTGAATAATGCATAATCTATAAAACGAGAAAAATCTAACGGAGCTAATGAATTTACAGTGTGATATAAAGCTTTTTAAAAGATGTTAAGATGCAGATTTGATTAATTTTTAGTTGCACTTGTCAAAAAATAAATACATTCAGATATGAATTTTTGCACTAAGAACATTTGTGTTTTTGTGAATGCATTTATATGTGAAAAGCTTTTTTTCGCAGTAGAAACTTAACCTAATTGACCAATGAGCATATACAATCTGTTATGCAGATATTTTCTAGTATTTTTCCACCAAGGCTACTAACTTTAGAATAATAAAAACACCATCAAGTATCAAGCTGTCGTAAGAAATAAAGTTTACAATTACTTACAGACAAGTGCTTTTATTCATGCATCAAATAAAAATTTAAAGTATAACTCTAATATATGCCCTAATTTCACCAAATGTGGCGATATGTGTTCTGCACTGGTTCTTGGCACGATTGTGTGTTGTATGGCAACCCTGTTGACGTTGAAAAATCTTTCGCTAGAGCTCATTGGTTCGCGTCATGCTCATTGGTTTGTTGGTTCGCGTCTGCGTCTCAGAAGATGGGGGGGAAGATAAAATGGTGGAAGTTGTTGAATTGAAGTTCGGCAAAAGGAAATATCATTGTGGCCATCCTGTTGAGGGGCAGTGGGTATTTGAAGGTGTGGTCACGGAGATTATTTTTAGTGGCTGTGAATGATAGAAAGAGGGATTTGTAATTTTATTTATTTGTCAACCATAGTATGAATTTTCTGGATAGTGTGTCTGGCTGTCATATAAATACGATAGTAATTATTTGGCGGCATGTTAAAGGCGGTATGAAATTGGTATTTCTGCTGGTATTTCGAAAAAGCATTAATTCACGGTAAGTGCATTTTATTTTATTTTTGTTCTTATTTTGTAGAATGTTATGTTCATTTTTTTTAGTATGATTTTCTGTCGTTATTGTCGTTTTATTAATTGTTTGAAATTTATTTTAGTTATTTTAGTTTATTTTGTTGATTAGTGCATAGTGTCTAGATTGTGCAATTCGTAGATGTTTTTTAAAGTTGAAACAGAATGCTGTGTACATGGTATTCTTTGAAATTTATTGTTGTTATGTTAATTTATTAAAGTGAGGTGTGCGTAGTTCGTAGATTCATTTGTTGCCTAAATTGTGCAATTCATAGATGTTTTTTTTAAGTTTAAACAGGATGCTGTGTACATGGTATTCTTTGAAATTTATTGTTATGTTAATTTATTAAAGCGAGGTGTGCGTAGTTCATAGATTCGTTCGTTGCCTAGATTGTGCCGTTTGTAGAATTTTTTTAATTTAAGACATATTGCTGTGTACATGGATTCATGTCAAATATTTCTGGTTAGAAACTTCACGTTTTTGCTATCTAAATTTTTTGTTTTTGTTTTGGATTTTTAGCTTAAATTGTGTGTTCAAAACGTAGTTTTTGCATGTGCGAAAACCGCGTTTGAGACATTTTAGGCTTAAAGTTCAAAATGTAGACAAAAAATTTAGATCGTAATATGGCAGCGTGGAGTTTCTTGCCAAAAATGTTTGGTGAGAAATTTTGTGACTTGAAGGCACATACCAGATTAGTTCCAAATTTAATAAAACAAAATAAAGAAAATAAGTTTCCATTATTTATTCTTAAGTTTCTTTCCACACAGAAAGTTTTCTCTCAAAACTTAAGTTATATATTGCAACAAGTTTTCATAATTAGTTTATTTTTGGTTCCCTCTCAGTAAATTATTTATTAATTAATTAAACATATAAAAATTACTTGAAATAAATGACAGTCTTAAAATTTAAAATTTTTAGCTCTCAACAAGTTTGAATTACAAACTGTAACAACTTTAGATTTCAGATAGAAAATAAATATAAATCTGAATCTTTTGTTTTTCCTTTATTATTATTGTTCATATATGTTCTGATAGCTATTTAGTAAGCCAAATTTAAAATTTAATTAAAACAGTCTTTGTTCTGTTCATAAATTTTCTTTTTTCTTTTCTTTTCTTTTTCTTTTTTTTTTTTTTTTTTTTAACAGGAAAATTTTTGGCCTGTCAGATGTTTTCAGATCATGCATTTGCCCTGTATGCAATCTGAGTCTAACACTCAAGAAAAAAGTGGCAGGCTTCAAGCACTGACACATAGACAATTTGTAGTATCATTTGCAAAAATAACAAAAATTCTAATCCAATGAATTGTATTCTATGACTATTAAAGATTATGATCTTAACTGCATGTACAAATTATTTGCATATTTTTAGTATTCGTAAAATTATAAATTACTTGAGCAAAAAGTGCTTTCAGCACACCAAATGTAACAATTAATTATAAATTAAAGATTGTTACACACTAATAAATCAGAAAAAAAATATTGTTGAATGACATAAATTTAAAAAAAATTAACCTTTAATAATTCTAGTTTATTTTTTAATTAACCCCTAAAGGAAGATGATAAGTTTGATTTTTCTGGCATTATAAAATACATGAAAACCAGAGTTTTAAAAGTAAATAGCTCATCATATTTGTCAAACAAGAATCAAACCTTTGTGTTTTATTTTTTATAGTATAAGCACATGCTAAATATAACAATAGAAATTATACAAAAAGCTAGATTTAATAATTTTTACAAAATTTTATGCCAAAGTATGAATACTCGTATCACTTCAAATAGTTCTGTAACTACAAGTATATGTCAGAAGACCCATGACTACAAAAACAAAAGTTGCATAAGGAAATTTATAGACAGAGTAGAGAGTAAATTTACATTGCTTCTAAATTTGGATTTTCCACCTTATAGTTGGATTGTATGCAATCCATAATTTTCTGAGAAAATTTATAATTGAGCAAGTTCCCACATTCTTGACCATGTATTATCTTTAAAGAAATTTCTTTGATATTTCACAATATCTACTATAGTTCATACACTAATTTAGGTAGATATTTATTTTCCATGAGAAATTAGCTCCATTAATCTAACAACTTTACAAAAATCCACTAAAAAATATGTGGCAAATATTAATTTTATGGCTTAGAGAAACATAGCATCTTGTGAGACTCAAGTATTTATGAAGGATATTTATCAAGACAATCATTTTGCTGTAGATGCAGCTCTATGTACACATTACGGAAATATGCTCTAAAGATAATGTGTATGATCTTCTAGATACACCACCAATTCATTAGCTAAAGGATATAATAGATCATCACCAAAATATTTAAATAAAAAAGTAGAAAACATTTATTTTATAAAGTCAGCCAATCAATGAATCGAGATGTATGGTTTTAACAGGACTGAGTTACAATAATGCAGATATACCATCTATTATGTATTCAAGTGTATGTTAACAAGTCAGGTAATTTCACCATATAACAATATTCCATGGGGAACTCCTTAAACGTTGTATGCTGTGTAAACAAGTGTAGGAAATATCCTGCTTTGCCAGTAGTAAGATACAAGCCTAGGACAAAAGCATACCTTTTTTGTCACTTTTGTGACAAAAAACAATTTGTGTAACAGTAAATATTCCAAGATTTTAAAGGAACAGCAACCTGATCAATAGCAATCACAAACATCAGATTCAACAACAAAGAATGAGAATTTTTTTCTTTTTTTAATTGAGGCACCAGTTGTAATTGTGTAAAGCTAGGCAATGATCTCATAGTGAATAAGGAGAATGAATGATCATTGATCCAGTAATTTTCATTCAGAGATTTTTAGTAGCTTTTTTATTTCAATGATAATTTCTTTTGCAGAAAGAATTAACAGATTACATGATTTTGTAACTGCCAAATGATAAGTCAGCAAAATTAAATTCTTCTAAAATTAAGATCAACAATACCAAAAGATTTTGTTTACAGAATCACAAAATAAAATTGTATTTTACTACTACTGCTGATAAGAAAGATGTCAGCTTGAAAAGGAAGGTTTATAGGATGGATGCTGGTATGATGCTTGCACATTCCTATTCTGATAACTATTTAGCTTATTCATTTCTGATGTCAAGAGCTCATATTGGTAATATTTTGTCACCTGGAAATGAAACACGATAAAAACTGGCATATGGAATAATTACATGTTTTATTTGTGAATTTCTGTAGTTTTCTTTTCCCCTGCTTCTTTTTCTTTTAATTAATATTTTGGGCTTAATAAAATAGCCATTCTTTTTCTGAAGCAATATGTATTATTAGAATTATTCCTACTCATCGTAACACTTTGTGCCAAAATATATGTTTTATTTCTAGGTAGATTTGCTACCAACTTATATTTGTCATTATGTGGGACTCCACTAAGTGAAAAATATCCAAGAAGTTTTTCTTTTACAGGAATGCTTAAAGAATAAAGTGTTTACTCATCTATACTTATGAAACATCAAATATTTTTAAAAAACCTAATGAATTTGCTATAACTGTAGTGAAAATGACACACATGAAAGGAATTATAAAAATTAATTTTAACATAACATAAAACATAAAGGCTCAATTTTTAGAGAGTGTGCATAAAAATGCAGTTAATTTTAAATTCTAGCATTCAAAATAATTATATGTATGAGAGTTAAATAGTGTATTAAAAAAACAATTTTAATTTTTTAATCACTTATTTTATTGATTCATCTTATATACCTAAGATAACAAAAGAAATGAAATCTATAAGGACTAAACAATTCTGAATACCTTACCTTGTCCTTGAAGGAACCAAAATAAGACATACATCAAGATATAGTCCCACCTAAATGTTATCTGGCTCACTGGTAAACTTAAACTATCAACTGTAAAACAATAAGATAAAAGTTACAATTTTCATATGCAATGAAAAATATACAGGCATTTAATAATGATTAAAAACTGGTATAAAGAGGCAGACTGACATATTTTACTATGAAATAAAACATAATTTATTTTATTTCTGTATTTAATGATTTCAAACTCTTAAAATATGAGTTTCTTATCATCATCGCCCACAATTTTTTGAATGATGTTATTAGATATCCAAGGCTTAAACAGAAATTACACTTTTTTTTATCAAACAGTTCTAAGAGTTCTCCTAAGAAGTACATAAAAAAAGATTCTATGTTTTTTATTTATTTACTTACAGTTCATACATATAATAGCAAACATTGTTACCAAAAAAAAAAAAAAAAAAAAAGGAGTGACTATATTATAAACTAAATGTCCTGATCAATTTGAATCTCACCATCCTATAAATGAACACATGACTTAAATGTTGTGAAAATCATTGTCAAATCAAGAGAAAATGGAAATAATTTTCACTTTCTTATTTATATGTTTCTGTGGTTTTGATTTTTTTAGCTGAAATAAAAAAATAATTTTCTCTCCTTTTTTACATATATATATTAAAATACCTTAAATGTACAGTTTTATTTGGGAAATAACATAGCATATGCCATCAAATACAACAAAATTGACTTCTATTTCAATGAAAACACAGTTTTTATTTTCTTAACCAAAATAACATAATGACTATATATCAGAAACTTTAAAATATACTCTACATAAATTACCTACCTATATGCTTATTATACTGAGGAACAAAAACATTGATAACTCTGCCTAATATAAGGATAAAAAAACACATCACAACTCTCAGCTGCAAGACAATGCTCTTTTTTGGCCACAAAAATGGTATCAATCTTTTACATTTTTTTCCAAATTCAGAAAATGTAGAACGATTTCTTGATGTCTGCCGATTTCCACTTTCGAGTAAAACCTGGAAAAATTGTGAATATTTAAACCAATCATGCAATTTTACAGATTAATAAATATAAAAGAAATGCAAAGCTATTTAAAGGAGTACAATAAAATAATATTGGTTAACTTACCAATTACAAAACCTTTATTAATTAAATAGTTTTAACAAAACCAATCACATTTTTAATCCCATCATATTTGTAATCCATTTTTATGGCAAAAATATTGCCTATAACGTGTCCATATAGGTTTTGTCTTTACTTCAGTATCTTCAAATGAATTCACATATGTAAGAATCAAATAAAGTATGATTAGCATGAAGTATCAAGTTGAGCATATATATCCTTCTGCAGAAAATTACTTATATATATATATATATATAATTTAAGAAATGAGAACAAACTACGAAAGATCTTTGTGGTCAAGAATATATATATATACAACAAAATCCCCTCTGTATATATATTTATTCAACCCCTGTATATATATATATATATATATATACAGGGGTTGGATAGAAATAAGGAAACCATGAAAATGCATGCTTGAACTGAAATGTTTATTCTAGCAAAAGCTGTTGGTGGCACTGATGTATTTGCTCACTAATGCCACTTGTACAACATCCTAAGTTGCAAGTGTTATTCATTATAAATACAGTTTTCAGTATAGTTATGAGTGCATCAAATTGGAGCTAAATGAATTTAAATGTGGGTAAATTGGTGGGTGCTTCTGTAACCAAGGTAGCTGAAGTGTTTTGTATTTCAAGAGGCACAGTATCTAATATTTTTAAATCATGTAGGAGAACCAGAAAAACCACATCCTCATGGCACATGTAAAAAGTATGTTGATTGATCATGACAGATGTTCACTGAAGACACTTGTGATGAAAAATAAGAGGGCTGTAGCTGCAAAAATGACTGCTGAACTGAATGTTGCACTCACAACTCGTGTCAGCACCAAAGCAATATAAACAGCAATCCACAAACAGGGTACTTTTGAATGAGCTGCAATTAAAAAGCCATTCATCAGTAATTAAAACACCCATAAAAGGAGAAAATAGCACCAAAGTTATAAAACTGGACTGTGGAGCAATGGAAGACAATCATTTGATCAGATGAGTCTTGCTTCACACTGTTCCCAACTTCTGAGTGAGTGCCATCCCAAAAGTATGATTGAGATTATTTGCAGCGAAGAGTGAAACATGATAGACGTTCAGTCAGGGTTTAAGCAGGCATATTGTGGCATTTTATGGACCCATCATTACTGTGCAAGGTTACATTACTGCCAAAGATTATGTGATTATTCTAGCTGATCATATCCATTTCATGTACAAATTTTTTTCTGGTGATGCCATGTTCCAAGAAGATAGAGCTCCTGTTCATTCAGCTTGCATTGTTTTTCTGAGTACGAGGATGAACTTTCACCCCTACCACAGTTACCATATATCAATATTATTGAGCCTTTGTGGGCTACTTTGGAGAGAAATCTGAGTGCATCCCCTGTTATCATCGTTAACTGAACTTGCCAATGTTTTACAGGAAGAATGATACAAAATTCCCTGGCAAACAAACAAGATATCTACTTATCCATTTTGAGAAGACTGCAAGCTGTTTTGAATGTGAATGGTTTTCCTACAGCGTATTAGTTACAGCAATATATTTTTTTATCTTAGTGTTTCTATGTTTTTTTCCAACCCCTGTGCATAATTCAGTACCTACAGATTTCTTTAGGAAAAGTAACAGTCTGCTGAGAATGATTTATTATCAGTGCTAACAGAAACACAGTATTAAAAAAATTCCAATCAAAAAAATGCATGTCTTCAGTTACAGCACATAAAAGAAAAGGAAAAACGAAAGAGAAGATAAAAACAATAGTTGTGCTGCATTTTTTTATTGATAACCATTAATAACATAAAAAAACCTACACAGCTGAACTTATGTTGATATAACTCATATAGAATGCTTGAAAAAGTAGCTGCAGCCTTTATTCTTTACATATAAAGAAAACGTTTATACTACATTTATAAGGTTTTCTTTTTTTTTCCATTTTAGTTTTTGAGAATAACCAAAATTTGTACAGTCCTACTGAAATTTCAATTCACTTTGAGAAACCTTGTTTTTAAAAACATCAAATGATGATTATGATTCTTCTTGCAAGATTTTACAAATTTTTCTTAAATTATACAATACAAAAAATATAAAACTTCTGAAAAATCCCCACATTTCAATATATTGTAACAAATAACCAAAATATACAATATTCTAAGTTTCATGTTTACAAGTTACCTTTTAACATCATAAATACTGTAATATTCTATTAAAATTATGACTACAATGTTAGTACATTTCATTTTCAATTCCTAATCTTACACAAACTAAAGACTTTACAATTTTCTAAAACCAAACATTTCCAGCAGAAATTAGGCAAATCCTCCTTAACTGCCTGATGTATAATTTCATAAACGGTAAGTGCTCTTCAAACAGTTATTTGAAAAGACCTTCATTCCTTGGAAAAGGTAAATGGCTTTTGAGAACTGTATTACAACACACCATAATAAAACATTAATTACATACAAAAGTATTGCTTTCTTTCTTAAAAATGGTATCTATTACCTTTTCTTGTATGAGAGGGTTAAAGGATTTATTAAATTATTTAGAAGTAAAACTAATTCTCTAATTATTAACCAATACTCCTTACTATATCTAATCTTTACATTCATTACATAATTAAAACATTCACTTATCATCATTTTATATTACTTTTTTATACATTTCAATTTTTAATTACATTACCCATATTCAATTTCGGAAGTCATTAACATTTCATAATCATTATAACACTATTTAATAATATTTTCTACATAAATATTCATAAACAGAATTTTTATACCACTTTCTATAATACTCAGTTTTTTTCAAGTCAAACAACAAGCATTTATTTTAATCTTGAAATAATCCAAAACCATAAATATGCCAAGTTTTTGTTTACTTTTCATAAATACTCTGTGGCTGCTATGTTTCCATGACTGCCTTTAATATGGCATCAGATGCATTCGCTCATCTCAAGAACTTCTGCCACATCACCTCCGCAAAGTAAAGATTGTTTCCATGTGAATTCCGCAATGCTCATGATGATGGTGGATCAAGCCTCAGTGATTTTTATTCAGCCATTTAGCAAAGTGTCACAGTCTTTCAATATTTTATGTATGAGAGCTGTTATTGGAGTAAAATGTGTCTAGCCCTATTCCTCTGTTTATATAGTCTCTTATTTCCTCTGTTTACAATAGTCTGAATAAATCGTTGATTCCTTTTGTACATAGTCAATAATTTTTGCCATGAGTGTGATTGCTCTTCATTCAGAACCTGAGTGAAAAAGAATTCACAAGTATCTGGGCATCAAATATTCAGTATTGTGGAAGAATCTGGATGGCTCTGTATTCCTGTATAAACAGACATTTTTTTTTTATGTCCATAGTTCTTTCATGGCTACATATTTGCTTAACCCTTTGAGGTTTGGTGTATAAAAAAAATTTTTCGGGGAAAAAATAACTTTACTAACATTGTATTAGGGGCTAATTATAGATAGACAATGTTATTTCATGCAAAAAAAAATGGTTAAACCTTTAAGGTAATTTATGACATGGTGGGATACCGCTTGTCCCACCACGCACCTACAGCAGTAAAATGGCATCTTTGCCACAGCATAAATTCTCCTAACATGCTTACCTAAAGTGCTAGTTTTAGCAACCAAATGAAAATGCAAGATATAAAAACGTTTTTGAACAATTATCTAAAAAATATTGATCATATTCGCAAAATAAAAAATATTTTTTTTTAAATCTATCTCTGTACGACTTTTTAGATATTTTTTAATGATTTCATAATAGATTTGAAACAGAGAAGATTTCGCTCCAGTACTTTATTTGCTACAGGTTTGAAAAGGAAGAGATTTAGAAGGCCGTCATGATTTACATTCACCTCTCTTTCCTCTACTTAGGCTATTTTTCTATGGTGAATCACACTTACATATCCATTCAGTATTCAATGACATTTCATGTTACAGAATTATATTTTCATTTCTTTCAGAAAAAATACTAAATATTTTTCAAGTTTTAACATTATTGCAATTTATTAAAAATATAAATTTGCATTATCAACATATAAAACGAACACACTTGAATTTAAAAATATTTGAACAATGCTGCCATCTAGTAGCAGCAATTGCTACATGCGCGGTGAGACATATTTGGTCCCACGTTTAAATTTCAACAATTCTCAATTAATATATATGAATTCAACTAATTTTATTTTATTTTTTTTTTTTTTTTTTTTTTTTTTTTTTTTTGAAAAGGAAACTTTCACATAAAAATATTCATTCTAACACCAAAAGTTGTTGTTCAGGTGATTTAAATTGCATTAGAAATAACTATCACCGTACTGTTAAAAACAGTATTTAGAAACTACTAAACCAGTTCTCAAAACGTATGCTTTTCCTTCATTTTATGTTGTACCTCCAAATACTTTCATTAATCTGCCATTTCATTTAATGGCCACATTCCAATGTGACGTAAAATTCACCTTTTGGGGGGGGGAGAAAAATATAGCATCTTTCTCACTTTTCAATAAATCAAACAATTTAGCATTTTTCTGGAAAAAAAAAAAAGAAAATATATAAACACATAGAGTACTCACAGCTAATCTTGCAATGAGAGAATTATGAATATCGTGAATTTATGGCTCATTCTGAGCTCTTCTAATCATTCATTTGAAGACTACTCGTATTGGCAATTTATCAATAATCTTATTGTCATTTACAAAATGGAGGTCATAACAAGGAAGTATTAATCTTAATAACATTCCCTAACTTTTAAACAAAAGTATTTTAAATTTTTTTAATTCATTGATGAATTAATTCAACATAATTATACAAATTTAAATTTCTAATCCTATAAATTTGGATTTGGTATTTCCATGAAAACAGGATGTCATACCTAAAGTTAAAAAATAATAATGATTGTTACCACTTACATATTTTTTATCTTACATCTATACAAAACTGAAACAAATGTTGATTGAAAAGCTATCATAATACTTACTCCTGATTCAATTTGCAAATGTAGCTGACGGTATGCAGAGTAATCTTCAGCTGTGGGAATGCCTGGAGCTTTCAAACCCAAAACAAATAGAAAACAACTACATACATATCGAAACACAAAGAAGCCAAATTCAATTTTATCAGATGAACTGAAAATAAAAAAAAGAACTCATTTACAATTCAGTATTACCCAGTATTTCTAGTAAAATGTTTTTGGGAGAAAATCATTAGATTTTATGTTTAAAAAAATTATATTTTTCCATTAAAGCCACGCCACATATTTTTGGTGACATATTGGTACATTTATGTCTTTCTGGACACCTTTGGGCTTGATACTAGATGACGTGGAATGATTGGGAATAGCAATAAGATATATTCCTGTTGTTATTCATGTTCTTCATGACAAAAATCTTCAAAAAAATCACTGCGGGGAAAGAACATGGCTTATATTTTCTTTCTTTAAATAACCTTTCATCAGTTTTCATATTTTTGCAGTGTCCATAGATTTTTAACGATAGGGCAAGATAATAAAGAACTCACTCATACCCCTCTTCAATTATTCCTGTAAACCTTTCTCTCTGAATTAATTTAAAATAAGTTTTGGTTTGCAAAACGCAACATAAATTAACCTGACACCATAAATAAAATAATCAGCAATAATGAATGGAACATATGATCTAACAAATCACATTTGTATTTGCACATCTTCAGTCTTGTCAGGAATGAAGACTGCATAGTCATTTCAGATTTAAGTCGTATATCAGTTTCATGAAGTGGTTATTTGAACATAATTTTTGTGAATTATATCTCTGTCTTGAAGAAACAGGATAGTCTCTACTGATTTCTTGACAAATTCGAATTAAGAAATCCATTACACAGGAAAATAAAAAGGACAGGAGAGAAAACTGATTAGATAAAACAATGCTTACATGAATGATGGGTACGAAGAAGTTATCAAGAAGAAAGAAGCCTAAAAAATAATGGTCTTTTCTGGAGTCAGAAGGTGTGAAAAGCAGCAAAACAATTTTGGAAGTAATATGAGTACCAATTACTACAGAGCAGTAACCTAACCTGGCTGATTGATTTTACATAACTGGTGAATATGGCCTAGCCATTACATGCAATAAGTAATGATAATTACATGCAATAAGTAATGATTACATGCAATAAGTAATGATAACTGTTTATATTTTTCTACTTCTGCCAATATTGTTACTTATTGCCTTTATGAGGCTGCTGGCAAATTCAGCTAGTTTCACCAATCATTCCTGCAGAATTATTTTCATCAAACTTAAGTTTCACCAATCATTCCTGCAGAATTATTTTCACCAAACTTAAGTTTCACCAATCATTCCTGCAGAATTATTTTCACCAAACTAATGTTTCACCAATCATTCCTGCAGAATTATTTTCATTTTACCACAAACTCTATTCAGAAGGTTAGGAGCACAAACTTCCTGCTGGTAACTGTGCCAGTCTGTTACTGTTTTATCAGCCAAATTCAGCTCATCATATTACTGCCATTAGTACATACTGTTTGATGGTACGATCCTATAACTTTGAAAACAACCAACTGCTTGTTATTTTGTAGGAGGTAGGCACCAAATTTTAATCATTTTTTTTCAAACTGCAAGAAAGAAATGCTGCAATAACACTTAATTTACACTCTTGTTCATAAAAACAAAATGTGGCTTATCAAGAGTTAACTAGAATTATATTAAATGAAAGTGCAGATGTTATGAGTGTGTCATTACAACATATTTAAATATAAAATAATCCCATTTATAATCTGCTTACAAATAACAAAAGTGCAAAATTATCAAGTACTAACCTTTGCTATTCTATAGGAAATCTACAGAAAAGTATTCCATCTGATTTTTGAAAATTTTTTATTGGATATTTCAAACAAATTGGCAAAAGTTACAACTTAAATTTTTTGGGAGAGAGAGAAAAAAAGGAATTTTTTTTAATATAATGAAATACACTGTTTCTTCAGATATAAATTAATATAATTAATTTAGTAATTTCATTAGTTTCAGGTCACTGAATTGAGGAGAAGGCAAGGGTTTTAGGTAACAGCGTAACCGCTGCAAACTGGATTGGCACTGCAGTTGGCAGCAGGTTGTAATCTGGGTGTGCAGACACTTCTCTTGAAGTAGCTTTGGCAAATACAAACTCTGGACTGCATAGTCACTTGTGATGAAAGTGGATTTACTTCAACAACAAAGGCCAAAAAGGGGATTGGTCTGTGTCCAGTGAGCCCGTCGGCAGAGTCGCAAAGCACAATTTGACTAACAAAAAGATCATGCTTTGTATCTGTTGGGAAAGTCATGGTATTATCCACAAAGAGTATCTGGAAAAACGTAAAATCATCCACAGTACGGTGTACAACAAGATGCTAGTCTGTGTTGATGGTGCTATCAAGGAAAAATGTCAAACTGAGTTCTGGCGCAAAAAGGTAATAGGAACTACTCTGATATGCGCCCTCAAGTCGCCAAATTTCTCGCCAAATATTTTTGAACTTCACGCGGCCATATTACTATCTAAATTTTTTGTCTACAGTTCAAACTTTAAGCCTAAAATGCCTCCAAAAACGCAGTTTTCACACATGCAAAAACTACGTTTTGAACACACGATTTAAGCTAAAAATCCGAAACAAAAACAAAAAATTTAGATAGCAAAAACGTGAAGTTTCTAACCAAAAATATTTAACGAGAATCCATGTACACAGCGACATATTTTAACTTAAAAAAACATCTACCAATGGCACAACGTAGGCAACGAACGAATCTATGAACTACGCACACCTCCCTTTAATAAATTAAAATAACAACAATAAATTTAAAAGAATACCATGTACACAGTATCCTGTTTAAACTTTAAAAAAAAAAAATCTACGAATTGCACACTGTAGGCAATAAACGAATTTACGAACTACACACACACCTCGCTTTAAAAAATTAACATAACAACAATAAATTTCAAAGAATACCATGTACACAGTATCCTGTTTAAACTTTAAAAAAAAATCTACAAATTGCACTATCTACACTAAAAACAATCAAGAAAATAAACTAAAATAAATTTCAGACAATTCAAAAAACAACAGAAACGGAAATTCATACAAAAAACAATGAATATAACATCCTACAAAATAGAAACAATAAAATGAAATGCACTTACCATAATGAAAGCTTCTTTTAAAAGCAGAAATATCACTTTCAAACTTCACAAAAACAAAAAACACAAACACTTTTTGCAAATAAACTACAAAGAAATTTTTAATTTTTCCCATTCAACACATCTTACAATTTCTAGAAATTTATTAAAAGCATCTTCTTTAATTTCATGACAGTAACGGAAAAACATATACACAGCCAAATAAAATTCAAAAACACATTTTCTGTTATAAGTAGGTAACGAAGCTTTCACATGGCGCCACGTACTTTCTATACTATTTATATGACAGCCAGACTCGCTATCCACAAAATTTAAACTATGGTTCACAAATAAATGTTCAAAACCTTCTTTTCTTAAATCCTTGTAGGATTTCCAGCCATCGGAAAAAATAGTTGTACCAGGCTCAATCCACTCTTTAATACACTGCATCAGCGTTTCCTTACTTCTATCATGCACAGCTACTAAAAATAATCTCCCAGACCCTCTTTCCACACCTCCAAATACCCACTGCCCCTCAACAGGATGGCCACGATGATATTTCCTTTTGCCGAATTTCGATTTCATTCACTTCCACCACTTTATCTTTCCCCCCTATCTTCTCAGATACAGAGCATACAAAGTCCAAAATACATTCGTTAATAAAATTTCACCAGTCACACAACGTCTGTGAAGAAAACTTCCACGATTTTGCTATATCACATGCCTTCCTACGATTCACAATTTCGAAAGTAACAATAAAAACTTCCTCCAACGTTAACTTGCTACACGAAAACCAAGATTCCAAACCTTAAACTGCGCTGACAACCCACATTACTTTATTAGCAACAATTTTACTGCAAACCCACACAAGTCTATCAGAAACACCACTTTTCGTCCAGAGTTCTCATATCAGGCTCCGCATTTCGGACATGTCAAACTCCGTTTTAAAAGTCCTGACTCCCACATAAATTCCAAAAATATGCTATGATCCCCATAAATACATCCGTGAACAAAAGACTCGTTAACAACTCCAACATTGTACCTTTTCATACTAAATTTACTCTGCACACAATCTAAAATACGCGGCTGAAACCTTCCCCCCACATCTTTCATCGCAACATAGGCCATTTCAAAAACACCTGCGACACGAACCAACTAGGAATTTTAAACTACTCCACCAAAAGATTTTTCAACGTCGACATAGTTGCCATACAACCCGCAATCGCGCCAAAAACCAGTGCAAAACACATATCGCCACATTTGGTAAAATTAGGGCGTTTATCAGAGTTGTACCAGGTAATATTCCATCAAGATAATGCAAGACTACATGTGTCTGCATTCACCAGCTGGACTCTATATAGAGTCCAGATGGACTCGAATGGGATCTTTTGCAACACCCACCATATAGCTCCGACATCACTCCTTTGGACTTCTGCATTTTCTCATACCTGCAGCTACATCTTGCTTGTGCTATCCTCTATTTGGCACAGAACGTCTAAAATTAGGTTCATCTGTTTTTGGATTCATGGCCACCAAGTTTCTAGGCCGAAGGCTTTGAAAAACTGCCGAAACATTGGCAGAAAATCATAGATTTGGGTGGTGATTACTACCCACACTAAAGGTTTTACTTTAATGTTTTTTTTTCCTAACTTTACTAAGAAAATGTTTTGGCAGAGAAGTTTTGTTACAAACACATAACAATAAAACAATCTGATAGAACGATCTGTTCTCTAGTTCCCAGAGATGAAGTAGACAGATCATCAGTAAAAGCTTGTATTTTACTGATATTTTAAAACATGGTTTTAAAGTGTGACAACCATGAATACTGTGTTTCATTTGAATCATGCTTGCCTTCCTACAAATTGGTACAATTGTTCCTGCAGAATTCTGATCCACACTCATGTATGTAACTCTTACAATAAAGCATTCTTCAGTCTCTCAGCATAATCTTCAAATATTCTGTGGAAGAGTTCAACCCGCTTCACTTTTGCACTTTATAAAAAGGGTTCGGTCATTTTCTACTATTTTGTTAGGAACTCCGATTTTACTAGAAACTCTGTTTAGAATGTTACTTCCACTGGGTGATTGTTCCAATCGATGATACTTGTGTATCAGTGCAACCACGTTAGTGGAGTTCGACAAATTTTACAGAGACCATTCAGTGGTTTTTCAGATTGCAATTTATAATATATATATTTACTTGAAGAAATGTTATATGCATGTTTACCAGAGTTTGGTGACTTCTACTAAGGTGATTTCAATAATACCTAAGTACCCAATCCATTACTGTTTTGTTGCCCATATTCAGCTTCTTTTGCCCATTTCACGGATGTTTATTCTCTCGCCCAGCTGTAAATGTTGTCACGAACACAATTTTACAGCTTTCAAAAAAAATTTTTTTCAAAATAACAATAAACAAATACAGCAATAACAGTTAACTTATACAATTACATATAAAAACAAAAGGTAGCTTATCAGGAATCGGTCAGGGTTACATCGAAGGAAAGCACAGGTGGTTTATGAAGTCATGCTTATCTACAACTGGTGCTAAATCCTGCTGCTTGGGAACAGTTTCATGGTTAGTGGGATAATGTTCAAGTACTACAAAATGTTAGTAAAACACAATTAAGATATAAGCAAAATGACATGTACAGAACAATGTCAATCATTTTTAAAAAAAAATCTATATTAAAGGGAAACGCAAACACAGAAATTTACATATATATTTGCGAATTCAACCATCATCATAATTTGGAAAACTGAAATCAAGCATAACATATTTTCCCCCCTTTCATATAATGATCCTTAAATTGTTTATAAATTATTAATGTTTTGTCAAAAACTTAAAAGTAATTTTACATGTCAGAAACCATACTCACCTCTGCAAATTAAACCACCATTTTTCATTCTGAATGTTCAAAATTGTCAGGTTTTCGGTTATAAATACAGATGTCCAGAATATAAGTAGAACCAGACCATGGCCTCTAGTAGGTATACTTGGAAGAGCTTTATGTCTCTCCAAAAACAGCAGATACAATGCGAAAGGAAAGGAAGAGAAATAGAAGCACGCACTTAGAATCATGTACCCGTAAACATAAAGATCATAAAGCACTGAAATTTGTAATATTAGACGAATCAAGGCAGAAATTGAGAGGAAGAAATGGCACGCAATCTGTAATTTATACATAAATGAATGTGGAAAAATTCGAGGATCCAAATCTGAGGAATATCGCTTATACATTCGTATTTGAACTCCGCCAAAAATAATAACAAAGCACATAATAAATGCTGAAGAAATTGTGTCGATAAAACAATGTGATAAACTGTGGTCCACCCATGGCTTTAAAAATGTAATATTTCGAGGGCAATACAACATTTTGCACACAAAAAATGAGTTTATAATAAATTAATAAAAATTCTAAAGGGTATTATATGGATAGCATAACTAAAACAATTTACGGTGCCGCTGTTTGTTTATATTTTGCGAGTCAAAGTTGTAGTTTTGAAGTTGTATGAAAAATTAAGAGAAAATTCCTAAAAAAACATTACAGATTATTTTGGACAAATTAAGGAAGGTCCACATCATCAAAGATTAAATAATTATAATCAAAAAGACGGTTCGGCAAAGAGGTAAAATTTGGTGTCGAATTGTCAACACAGATCGTATTGTTTATTGTTTGTTTGTTTGTTTGTTTGTTTGTTTGTTTTTAACTCTCGAATGTCAAGATGTAGAAAAATAAGAAAAGGTAAGCTGCATTCCACAGTGGAAAAAAAAGTAATGTTGAGGTCGAATAAAAGGCCAGAAACAATTTTGAAGAGTGTAATATTTAATAATTTGTAAATTGTAACATTTAATATTTAGTAACTTGTAATTGGCAACACTTTGGACACAGATAAAAAATAGAACTATGCTGGTATTGCAATTCTCTGTGATTATACATTCTAAGATTGTAAACAAATAGTTGCTAAAAGCTAAAAGTGTACCCTTATAATAATATATGGTGTCATGAAAATTTTGGTTTCAAAATGGAAAGTTTAAAACCACCAGAGCCGATGAAATTTGAGGGAAATCTAGCTTCGAATTGGCAGAGATGGCTGCAATCATTTGAAATATATGAAGTAGCTAGTGGATTACATAAATAAAGAAGAGAAATAAGAGTTAATACTTTTCTTCATGTAATAGGAATTCGTGGTCTTGAAATATATAATACATTTCCTATAGCAGAGGGTAAAGAAATTAAACTAAGTGAAATTAAAACAAAATTTACGGAATATTGTATTCCTAAGAAAAATATTACATATGAAAGACATTTATTCTTTCATATGTAAAATCAAACCGCGTCAGAAATCAAACCGCGTCAGAAACCATAGATGAATACGTAACTGACCTTCGAAATAAAGCTAGAACATGCGAGTTTGCACAATTAACGGATAGTTTAATAAAGGATAAAATTGTTTGTGGTATTAAAGATGATATAGTGAGAGCAAGATTGTTACATGAAACAGAATTAACATTAGAAAAAGCTCTTGATATATGCAGATCTGCTGAAATAAGTGCACATCAAATGAAAATCATAAAAGATGAGGAAACTGCTGTAAACTTAGTGAAAAAGAAACTAAGTAAACATAATAAGAATACCTACAAAGAGGTAAATACCGATAAACAAAGACAAAAATTTGTTCTAAATGTGGAACATCTCATGAGTATCGAATGTGTCCAGCATATGGAAAAATCTGTCATAAATGTAAAAAGGCAAATCATTTCGCGAGTCAGTGTAAAAAAAAAAATATATAATAAAAAATGAAGCAGTCAAGGTAAACAAAAAAGATAGACAAATTAAATTAATAAATCATGACTCTGAGGAAGAGTTAGAATTTTATGTTGGCACACATTAAACCTTAATTCAGATAACAAGGAAGAGAAATGGACTGTTGACGTTAATGTAAATAAAAGTAAACTAAATTTGCAGTTAGATACTGGAGCAATGTGCAATGTTATTTCTAAAACCAAAGTGAAATTGCTAAATGTTCCGATACAGAAGTCTGAAATTAAAAGATTAGTTACATTCTCTGGGAATAAAATGGATACTTTAGGAAAAGTAGTACTTAACTGCCAATATGGAAAAAATAATTATGTTGTGGAATTCCAAGTTATTGACAAAGAAGTACCTTCTATATTAGGATTAAAATCATGTTTGCAACTAGGTTTGATTCAGAAAAGTAATGTCTGTTTACACTGAAGACTTACTGGAAGGAATACAAAAGATGTATTTGAAGGCTTAGGTTGTTTGAATGGAGAATATAAAATCCAGTTAAAACAAGATGTAACAATAGTCATTCATCCTCCAAGAAAAATACCCATAGCTATACGTGATAAAATTAAGAAAGAATTGCAAAGAATGGAAAATTTAAATGTTATTGAAAAAGTAAGAGAACCAACTGAATGGGTAAATTCAATGGTCACAGTTGTCAAACCGAACAAAATAAGAATATGTTTAGATCCTAGAGATTTAAATAAAGCTATAAAACGAGAATTTTATCCGATGTTAACCATTGACGAAGTTATCACTAGAATGCCTAACGTAAAAATATTTTCTGTTTCAGATGCTAATAGTTCTTTTTGGCAAATCCAGCTTGACGAAAAAAGTGGTAATTTGTGTACATTCAATACACCTTTTGGCAGATACAAATTTAAAAGATTACCTTTTGGCATATGTTCAGCTCCAGAAATTTGCCAAAGAAAATTAAGCCAAATAATAGAAGGTCTAGAAGGCGTTGAATGTATTATACATGATATCTTAATATGGGGATATCTAATGAAAAGGAACATGAGCTACGACTTAAAAAAGTACTCCAGAGAGCACGAGAAAATAATTTGAAGTTCAATAAGGCTAAATGTAAAATAAAAGTTAATCGTGTGAATTATATAGGGCACGAGTTAAGTGAAAATGGACTAAAACCTGATTTTTCTAAAGTGGAAGCAATTGTTAAAATGCCAGAACCTACAGATGTGCCTTCGCTACAAAGATTTTTGGGAATGATTAATTATTTAGCCAAATTTATTCCTAACTTAACTACTATTACTGCACCATTAAGACAGTTACTTGAGAAAAAATGTCCTCTGGCACTGGACTGAAAAGCATCAAAAAGCTTTCGAAACACTTAAAGAAACTGATTGCAAAAGCACCCGTATTAAAATTCTATGATGTTAATAAGGATGTAACTCTTTCAGTAGATGCAAGTTCTGAAGGATTAGGTGCTGTTTTACTACAAGAAAACCAACCAATTGCTTATGCTTCCAGAGCTCTAACAAAAAGTCAGAAAAATTATGCTCAGATAGAAAAAGAGCTTTTAGCTATTACTTTTGGATGTTCTAAATTTCATCAATATATATGGCAAATGTATTACAGTTGAAACTGATCATCGACCATTAGAAAGCATAACTAAGAAACCTCTTTTTAAAGCACCACAGCGATTGCAAAGAATGCTGTTAAATTTACAAAATATGATCTAGATGTACGATAAAAAAGGGGAAAAAAAGACTTATTAATAGCAGCACTTTGAGTAGAGGATATTTGAATACAACAGAAAAAGATAATGATGAAGATACAGAAATTTGTACACTGATTCCAGCATCTGATGACAAAATTTATGAATTGACGAAAGAAAGTGAATGTGATGCTACACTACAGTGCTTAAAAAAATATATTCTGAGAGGCTGGCCAGAAAAAAAACATCAGGTAGAACCTCAAGTCAAAGTATTTTGGGACTACAGAGATCAGTTGACAATAGAAAATGACGGTACTTTTCCGTTTTACCGGCGCAAACGATAAAGTCGCCAATAATGGTACTACTGATGCCAACGGAATATTTTCGCTGGTAACCTTCTACGCGTAATTTTCAAAACAAGTCGCAACCATTTCTTATCAGATTGATTGTGCCTTTCAATACTGGCATACAAGTACATAGAATTTTTACAAGATTATTAAATTTTATGCCCTAAGACGATTCGCGGTAATTAAGTTAATTAGAATGTAAACACACCGCTCCCCAGAAAGCAAAAATATAGAAAAGGTAAAATCAAGGGTTAAATTCATCAGTTCTAAGGAAAATACACTAGCGATGTAAAACACTACTGTTTTACATAATTTCTGAGTAAGCTATTCGTACGAATTGAAACAATTCTTGCATTTAAACTTGTATTCCAAATTAAAATTTAACTTGAAATTAATGTAGATAATTACTGAGAAAATTAGATTTTTGTAGCTTAGTTTACGTGAGATGATATCACTTGGGGATCACATGATACGAAACGGCGAATAAGGCTTCATGTCTTCTTAAATTCATTCGAAATTCTTAATGTCTTTTTACAAATTTATTGTCTTTATTTATCGGCATTTTACAAAATTTTAAACCGTATTAAAATATCTTCAAAATAAAAAATTCTTAGAACTAACATTCGTTAACATTTTTTATGTGTATACTGTATGTTGTCGCCAACAAAGTCTGCTTGGCGAGATTTGCGCCGGCAAAACGGAAAAGTACCAAAATGACTTATTTTTCAAAGGAGGAAGGGTAATTATTCCTTTATCTATGCAAAAGGAAATGTTAAATTTAATTCATGAGGGTCATTTTGGTATAGAAAAATGTAAGAAAAGAGCTAGAGACGTTTTGTTTTGGCCACTTATGAACAAGCAGATAGAAGATAAAATTTCAAAATGTTCTATATGTAATGAATACCAAAACAAAAACATAAGAGAGCCTATGATACCACATGAAATTCCCAATTTACCTTGGTATAAAGTTGCGACAGATTTATTTGAGATTAACAAAGATGTATATTTATTAATTGTAGATTACTATTTCAACTTTTTTGAAATCTCCAAACTACCGGATACTCGAAGTCAGACAGTGATCAGTTACATGAAATCTCATTTTGCAAGATACGGTATGCCATTAATAGTGATATCTGATAATGGACCTCAGTTTGCAAGTAAATAATTTGCAGAATTCGCAAAGAAATACCAATTTAAACATATAACAAGCAGTCCATACCATCCACAGTCGAACAGGTTAGCAGAGCGTTCAGTACAAACGGCGAAGAAATTGTTAAAGAAAGCTCAAGTAGATCATGTTGATCATTATTTAGCATTGTTAGCTCATAGGAACACTCCAACTAATGAGATGCTAGGATCACCAGCTCAACGACTTGAGAGATTTCTTATCCAGGAACGGTGAGTTAAGAACTAGAAGTGGGAGAGTGATTAGAAAGCCGACCAGGTATTTGGACTGATATTAGACTGTTAAAACTTTGAACTCTTTTAAAAAACGGAAGATGTAATATTTAATAATTTGTAAATGGTAAAATTTAATATTTAGTAACTTGTAATTGGCAACACTTTGGACACAGATCAAAAATAGAACTATACTGGTATTGCAGTTTTCTGTGATTATACATTCTAAGATTGTAAATAAATAGTTTCTAAAAGCTAAAAGTGTACCCTCATAATAATATAACATCATGAATTTCGAAAAGATTCGATATTTCCTTGATCTAAGGCTATAGAGGAGCCTTACCTTGATAAATGATCTTGCGGTGTTAAGGCGGTTTGTTGACAAATGTCTGCCTATTCGTCTGCCAGCATACTTTATCATGTTATAAATAAATATTTGCCGAATATCACTTTTGTTTTTTTAGCGTTTTTCGATTAGTATCAATATTGAAAAATAGAGGGCGCCACAACACCATTTCGGGGATAGTCAATTATCATTTTGGGGTAATATTTAATTTTTCTGCATTAAAATGGTTAATATTTTTATCTTAGGAAACGAAGTAACATTTACAGATTCACCATGACCCGTTTTATTCATCAAAACGTTATTTCTACGGCACAAAATGTGCACATATATAGATTATATTCAAATACTTTGCAAACCTAAAGGTTTCTGTAACGTCATTGCATCTTTCGCCAAGTAGGAAATTTGGCGAATTTTTTCACGCCTGTGTTGTAGATCGTCTGCAAAGTTGAACAGGTTTCTAATGTATTATAACCCCCCGCAAAAAGCAATTTAGGAGGACAAAACGTTGAAAGCTTTCATTAGCCAATCAAGATAACGAAACGTTGAACGCTTTCAATAGCCATCTGCAGAGTCTGGAAACCATAACGAGTTAGTGCATTCAACGAAACATTTCTCAAGAGCAACGTTTGGCTCTCCGCTAAATATAATTCAAATGATTAATTATTTGACTAATACTATTAATAAATATTCAGCTAAGGATGCGAGAACGTGGAAAAATCATTCGATATTTTTTCAGAGAGCGTTAGGGATATCTTTAAAATTGCCTCAGTTACTAATTTTCAACCATTATACGTAAAATCTTGAATGCTGAACTGATATTTACATGGAGTAATTTATAGAACTTAATCATAGAAAAAGAATACGTACAAATTATACTCAATTTTTTTTTAATAAACTCATTATATATTAGGTCAGCACTTCATTGAATGCATTGAATTTAAGTATAAATAAAACGGATTTAAAATAGTATTCAAATATTAGGGATAGTGTGTTGTTTTATATAAAGATTCGTTCAAGTAAATTTTGCCTCTTTAATATTTCAATATTTTTTCTTGCATCACATAGTATAAGTTATTTCATCGCCGGAAGGATGTTACAAATAAATTAATAAAGTAGTACATCTCGATTGCTAAATCGTGATAAGGAGTCAATGTAGTATTCGAGCCGGCATTTTAACGTATAAGACTTTGCAAAGAGCTGTTAGATAACGACGCATTAAGTTATATTTATTTTCAAACAATCAAGCTTTGTCAGTGTTAATAGAATCGTTACAGATTTAAGGTGATAATATAATTTAATACGTTGTACGCCCCACAGATTTTTTTTATTTGGTATGTGTTATCATCATTGGTTTGGTTACTTATTTCATTACGGCAAAGCACACAAGGGCTATGTGCATAAATGGAGGGATGCCTTCGTTGAGGACTTTTGTAAGTGAAACTGGCTTGCACCATGCCATACATGGGAAAAATCACGAAATCACGCATGCAACCAGACCATTCGCTGCTATTCGAACCCCGATCGAACTACCAGTGATGGCCCACAGGCACCGCACAGTCGTCGGTGACCTAATCTGCTATCATGTAACGTGGCTTGTATTCGAAAATGGGTTGTTCAAGGATGCCGGCAAATATTAAAAGCATTTAAACAGTGGAAACCATCTCAAAACTCCAATATAAATCAGAAAAAATCGTGATTTTGTTTATTTAAATATCGTAAGTATTAAAAGAATTATTTCCTTAAATTCTATAATAACTCAAGTTAAAATAAATAAATAAGTTCAAATAAGTTTTAAATAATATTAAGAAAAAATAATCCTTTTTTGGTTCCCTTTCAGAAATATTTATAGAAAGTTAAATACATGGAAATTAGCACCAATATTTAACATATTAAAAAAGTTAAGAAAAGTTTTTGCATAGGGGCCCATGACTTCTAACTACGCTACTGATAGTAATGCATACTTTTGAGAAGTAATTTACGGCGCCGCCTGAACACAATCTTAAGTAGCCTTAAGGTTGTGTTCAGGAAATTTTTCACAACCCCTATACGAGGCTGGGTGACCCTCTTTTCCGCAGTTGCAGCACCTAGGGACGTCTAAACGTCCTTTATCGCAGTCCTGAGTCTTATGATGTCCAGCGCATTTCACGCATCGTGGGGAAACATTACAATTCTCCGAGGAGTGGTGCCATTTCTGGCAGTTAAAGCACTGCGGAACTTGGAATTTCGAAACACCGAATTTTTCCACCGTAATTGAACATAGGCACAGGCCAGTCAGTTTATCGATTCGATCAATTACTTCATTTTTAAATAACTGTGCTTGAGATAAAGGCATTTTTTGTCAGCTGCACTACTTTGTGAACCTTGAATCCTTGCTTAACTAACTCATCTTTGATTTCGGAGACCTCCATATCAGAAGGTAGACCTCTCAGTAGCAGCTTAACAGGCTTTTCATGCCTAAGATTGACTACAAAATGATCGATGCCTTTTTTTGAGAAAGTATTTACTCAGAGTCCTATGATTATTATCAGTGCGGGGTAGAACCTTTAGAAATTCACCACTCAGGTCTAAGTCATTAGCAAAATCATTAAACTTTACGTTTCCCTCAGGCCTTTCCATTATGGGAGGAATTACACGCTGAACAACAGTAGGGGCGTGCTATTGAGAACTACTAGCATTTACATTTATATTACAAATATTTATTAGATGAAATATTTGCAGATACATTTGAGTTTGAATTAGCTACATCATTATTTTCAGGCTGAGAATTGCTATCACAGGTTGAAGAGACACTGTTATCAACAATATTTGCATGACTTAATACTTCAAACGTATTAAATGTAGTTGCACAAAATTTAGTCTTAGCTTTAGGAGTTCTAGCAGTTTTATTAGGTTTCTTAAACATATCATTTTCAGAAAGATCAGAGTCACTTACATTACTTTTCCTCTTAGATGTGCTGTCCGGTCTAGAACCACGTGCAACAGAATTATGCTTAACACTTATGGTACCATCATTACAGTTATCAGAGGTTAATATGGAACGACCTGCTAGGTATAAATTGCACTTACATTTTAATTCGGAGATTTGTCTTTTAGCCCATCTTTCATGCAGAGTATTTTTCACAATATCGCGCTGATGTTTTAGTTTAGCAATTTTAGCTTGTGCAACATCATAGTCAAAATTCTCTAAATCAGAAGCAGAACCTCAGTCTGAAATTACACATTCATAATTTGAACTAGATCCACTGGTATTAACAGTCGGAGAACCCGTAATAAAGTTCATATCCAAATTCACTTGAGCAGAGGTAGCGAGATCGACACGAGGTAATGCGCAGTGGCTAATCGCACCGATGGTGCGAATAGCTAACAGGCTATTCACACTACCTACGTTCGCGCATGCGCACAATCAGCCCAGGTACCAGCATTTTACACCGATTTCCGTAAGGCAGGCAGTAGTGAGAGCGAATGTTGTTAATAGTTCACCAGCAAGAGAATAATTTGCAAGTAATAATTATCAGTTACAAAGACGAGGTCAATCTATATACATGATAATGTCAGGAAATGATTAGATAAAATAGGGATTTAATGATGGTTCTAATTGCAAGCGAGGACGAGTAATTAGTTAAAAATCTTAGTGTATTGACAAAAGTCTACAGAAATTACTTAAAATTCTTTTTTAACAGAGGAATTTTTATGCAAACTTAGACCCTATTCTTATATAGGGATTGAGAATCATCATTCAATAAGTAAACTTACTGAAAATGATAATATTCTTATATTTAAGACACAATAACAGCGAATAAATACTAATTCAGAAGACAACAACAAAAATCAGCGTTATATTACAAAATTTTCACAGAACTAGTTTCGATGGTTTTACCGAACCACCATCCTCAGAGGCATATGTTAGAAAAAAGGAAACACAGAAGTCTTCTGTTGCGCAACATTGTTGGTCCGAAAATCACACTTTCAATTTTTCTGCTGCCAAAATTATTCAAAAAACATCTTCCATTGGAGAACTGGATTTTCTAGAGGGATTTCACATTCATAAAAATCTTTCTGTTCTAGTTAACGATCCTAATTCCAATCCAAATTTGCCTTCGGCCTTTAAACAAATTATGTTTTAGTTCTGGTTTCACCAAGAGATGGATCCACTTGCTTATTCTTGCCAGGCTTTCTTATCTTATCTAATCATTTTTCCTATTTGTTATTTGCGGTTTTGCAGCTGAGGATGGTGGTTCGGTAAAACCATCAAAACTAGTCCTATGAAAATTTTGTAAATATAACGCTGATTTTTGTTGGTTGTCTTCTGAATTAATATTCTTATATATTGATCACTTTTTCAGTATCCACTCAGGTTTATAGGTTCAAATGCCATATTTCAAAATCAAAGTTGAAAACCTTACAAAATCTGATAAATCATTTGTGTGTGCAAATTTTTAAATCTAAATCTTTTACATTAAATTATTTGTCTTTTAAATTACATCCCATTATTTATTTCAATTTAATTGTTTAATGTGTTTGTACTAACATTTCAAAGTTCTTTGAAGCACTTTTTGTGTCCTGAAAATGCCAAGTATTTCCATAAAAAAATAAGCAGGCATACAGAATAATTTATTTAATAGTTGACATAATCGCTTTAACTTATTTCATGTCT